TACTTGCTATAAGCAGAAAAAAGCACAAGTTTATCATTGCAGCATGTTGCATGTCAGAGAGAACTACGAGTGGCTCTGTAGTTTGAGCAGGATGATTAATGAAAACTTTGAAATCTTAAAACTGCTACTAAAAATGATATATTAAGGACTGCTGCACCGTCCGGACTGAGTGGGAGTCTTTTTAAATCGCACGTTTCCTTCAAGCACCCCATGAGATCTCATGAAACTCGTGTGCTTATCTGTACTTCTGTACTTTCAAATCAAAGTTTTTAGGGTTTTTTTTTTTTAAGAGTAAAAGCTAAACCAACCTCAATCTACACATTAAAATGTTTATTTTAGAAAATGGGTGACATTATCCTGAATTTATCTGAAAGTAGCCTGAGTAATTGCTGTCATTTCACCAGCTGACGAGACTAGAAATTGACTAGACTATTTGACCTTTTTAAGAAAAACTGACTTTACCAGGGAAAATGGAACAGCGTTTATTTTTATATGTCGAAAAGACAGTTGAGTCATAGGTTTTTCCTACTATTAACCATCATACACCCTAAGAATTACACCAAATTTCTTAAATTCCCATTGTTTCTTTTTTATATATATAATCTACGTAGGAGATTTCAATGTGTATGAACAATAAACTGATATGAGCTATAAACAAACAACAAAATAGATTGACTGTATATTTTTTCCTTTAATCCACACAAACTATTGAATTAACATAGTTGAATTTTACTAAAACTGTAAAACCTTCTGTGTCAAGGCAAGCATGGCATGACACACTCTTAGATCTCTCTAAATATTTTTACTGTATTTGATACGTGCTCATATAAATGCTGTCAGGATACATCCATCCATCATCTTTACCCGCTTCTTCCTTTTCGGGTCATGGGGGTCTTTGGTGCCCATTTCCAGCAGTCACTGTGTAAGAGGTAGAGGACACCCTGGACAGGTCTCCAGTCCATCACAGGGACACATAGAGACAAACGAGACAAACAACCATTCACTCTCTCACTCAACCTAACATGCATGTTTTTGGTCTGTGGGAGGAAACCAGAGTACCCGGAGAAAACCCACAAATGCACGGAGAGAACATGCAAACTCCACCCAGAAAGGTCCCTCGCTGGGATTTGAACTGGCAATTTTCTCGCTGAGAGGCAACCGCTCTACCAACTTCCCCACTGTGCCGCCCTGTCAGGATACAGCTATGGGATAAAAGACAACACCACTGTTGAACATTAACTCCACCTGTCACTTTCTGCACTAAATTATTTTCTATGCCCTTGTCACACAAACAACTCAGCCTGAAAGAAGACTATACACATTTTATGCTAGCATAAAAGCTGGATTTTGAACCTGATATGCCACAAAAAATGTTTGGAAAAACACTAACGTTTCCATAGACTGTTGTATAAACAGGGTCTGAGACCTGGATTCATGAATGATTGGTTTTAATGTAAATGGACTGTACTTATACAAGGTATTTCTATCTTATCAAGATACTCAAAGCTCTTTACAACACAATCTGTGTCTTCATTTACTCATTCATACAGCACTCTACTAGATCTATACAGAGACTAATCAGAGTTTTGGATCACATTCATACACCGATGGGACACACATCGGAGGCAATGAGGGGTTCAGTGTCTTGCCCAGGGACACGTCAACATGTAACTGCTGGTGGAATCAAACCCCCAACTCTCCCACTGCAGTATGTCTGCTCTAACCACTTAGCCACAGTGCCCCAAAGAGAGAAAGCACGCACTGTTGTTGTGTTCACAAAAGAAAAACTATAATTTCACTCAAAATGTGCATCATATAAACAAGACCTTAGGTGTATCTCAGGAAGTAACAAACACACTAAATTGTTAGTTCATCCCACATTCTTCTTCATTTATTCCCTGCAAAGTGAAGGGTTGAGGAAATTTCCTTGAGGAATTATCAGTTCCTTCTGTGTTCAAAAGACACAAACAGAAAAACCCTGAAAGACAGACTGAATATTCAGCAAAATAATGCTTTTATTCACAAGGTTATCCATTTTTCAAGTCGCCTCCAGAAACTGAATATCAGATTGAGAAACTAAAGAGATCGTTCCCACTAGTTGGATGACTAGCTTGTGGTGTGTTCATTACCAAGGAATTGTCACCTCATTAATCACCTGGAACAGTGGAAGAACTCCACCTGAAACGACGCCATAAGCTCGTCGTCTCTCAGATTCAAACTAAACGTATACCTTTGACTAAAACAAACCACGTACTAAATTTAAACCAAACCTTCCTCACTGTCCCCTGGTACAACTGTACTGGTTTCCTCTGTGGTCCTCGTCCAGCGGAGAGCGTATTTGGCCACCACTTGAAACCTGTTTGCGATCAAAGGAAAGCGAATGGAGTTCTGCTTGTGGCTGATTAACCTGCTGGCACACTCCTGACACAGTCCTTTAGCTCCCTGAGCTCCCAGGCTGCCTTAATCACACTCCTTCCCAGCTGAGTGGAAACGGGGCACTTGGCTGGGTTTTTCTCCTGGGATACGAAAGGACGGAGGGAACAGTATGGTTTGACGCGATTGCGTTTCGTTCTTCTCAGCCGTGTGGGTTTTAACGTAATGAAAGCAAATAACGCAAGCGCAACTGGGATGGCTGTGAGGACGTGCATGATATCATACCCAGGCACAGCGTTATCACAGGTGGCACCAAAAGAAGTGTGTATGAAGTTAACATTCAGTAGCTCAGTCACCTGAGACAATCCCACACTAGGCACGTTTGCACGCTTACGAAGCCTCGTTCTTTGTTTCATAGCATGATTGATTCTCTTCCTTTTTGCTTCAAATGCTTACTCACCTGACTGACGTCACGCTGTCATTTGTAATTTGTTACAGCCTTCACGTCCTCTTTGTTTTAGTTCAAAGCGCCCTAAGACAGATGCAGGCGTCTCAATCCTCAGCGCCGACAGGCTCTGTGATTGTCAGACAAAACGTTGTACCGTCACACAGACACAAAGGGAAATGGTGTCACACTAGAAAAGCGACAGAGTACACACACTGTAAAAAAAAAGAAAGTTTATTAACCTTAATTCTCCTTTACCTGGAACGCGTCTCAGAAGGAATGATTGTGGCAACTGGGCTGTAGCATCTTTTTTCACCCAAAAAGCCTCCCACAAAGTTAGTAATGATCTCATTTGTATGCATTGTCCTCTTCAAATCTGTGTCGCTGTGGGACTTCACCCCCAATGGGTCTGCCATACTTTGAATTACCAACTCCCTCTTCTAACGTTGCCCTCCTTTTCCTGCAAATTGGCTACAAACCTCCTTCCTTCCAAAATAACTTACTCTTCCAAATCATTTGTTACCCCTTGAAATGTAAAAGCAGATGGTGTCCAGTGGGATATTTAGTACTCTTAAATTACCGCCAATTTTTCTTCTAAGTTGGTCAAATTAAGTCTCTATTCTTAAGCGCATGATATTTTCTCTTTGCTGTTTTCTAATCAACGTTCTGTTCACTGATGCATTTTTTATTTTGTTCTTCCAGGATATTTGTTGTGCTTTTATGAATATGTTGTATAATCTTTGTGTGGAGTGTGCTAAAACCAACTAAAGTAACGCTACATGGATTTAAAAAAAAAAAAAAACTTCATAAAGCTTTTATAAATCCTTCTAAACAAAGATAAACCTCATCATAAACCAGTGTTTAAATGTGTGTTGTCTGTCGCCAACTGTTTCAAGCTGTTTGTTAAATTCTCAAACTTTAAAGGCAACAGCGACATTGAGCGCTATCAAATGGCAAATAAGAAAATCCCTTTCAAATATACCCGGCCAGTAGAAGATTGGATTCAGGAGAAAGGTAAATCTTTATCCAACTTCTAGAATGTATTTTATTTTTTCCTTTATTATTATTATTTTTTCTGTCATTCCATCGGCTTGCTCCCTTTCAACCTTTGAGAATGGGGGGTGGGGGGGTGCTGTAAAACCCCTTAAAAGTCTATAAAACAACGCTTTTCTTGTGAAAATTATCCTTTATATATTTGTTATCCCTTTTTGCCATTGTCACCTTTTTTTTTTTATTATTATCAAGCCATGAGGTCCAGTTAAAGGGACTGAGGGGGACAGTATGACATATGCAACAGGATGATTGATAAAGAGATATTCCAGGCATTTTGAGTTGGGGTTATCCAGTTTGGAGTGTTTATGTATGACAGGATTGATGAGTTGGGTCAAAAATAAAGTAAATGGTAAATAGACAGTACTTACATATCGCCTTTCTGTCTTGTGAAGACACTCAAAGTGCTTTCCAACACAATCTGTGCTTCATTTACCCATTCATACAGCACTCTACTAGATCTCTGCAAATATTAATCAGTGTTTTATCACATTCATACACTGATGGGACACACATCGGAGGCAGTGAGAGGGTCAGTGTCTTGCCCAGGGACACGTCAACATGTGACTGCTGGTGGAATCGAACCCCCAACTCTCCCACTGGATTGGACTGTTCTAACCACTCAGCCACAGCTGCCCCTGAAGTAGATTTATTCAGTCTTCAGTTTATACAAACACATTTTCTTAAAACTTCACACTGCCACTGGTTTGAAACTACATACCATATTTTCCGGACTATAAGTCGCTCTTTCTTTCATAGTTTGGCCAGTTCTGCGACGTATAGTCTAAAGCGACTTATGTATGGGTTTTTGTTTTTTTTTTCCCATTCATTACGCAATTTTTTTTTTAAAGGGCAAAACATCTCAGCGCAAAAAAAGAAACCGTCCAGATGACTTGACAACGTTGTTGGATTTTATACCTGGATTATTGAGCATGGGCTGTGGTGTTTTGAACCAGTTTGACATGACTGTCGATGAGGGAGAGGACGTGCCCCAGAGACCATCTTAGCACCAACATAACTGTTTTTTTTTTCCACTTTGGTTTATGCTGTTGGTGGAGAATAAATTTTGTTTGGTGTTTCCTGACTGATGAAGCCCTTTGAATGGAGGGCCAAAAGTCTCTGCACAAAATAGAAACCATCCAGATGACCTGACTGAACATTGTTGGATTTTATACCTGGAATATTGAGCATGGACTTTGGTATATGTAGTTCTTCTACTGGTAAAACTGTGACTTATATATTGGTTTTTCCTCTTTATGAGACATTTTTTTGACTGATGCAACCTGTACTGTGTGATGTGTAGTCCGGAAAATACGGTACTTGTTTACATTTAATTCTGTGGCTCGTTTGTACATCCAAAAAGCAGCAGCAGCTTGTAATAGCATTTCTGGCACAACTTGAGGTAATTTGTAGAAGGAATTTAGTACGTTTTTTTATTTTGTTTTTCTTAGTCAAAATAGCTCTGTCTATAGGTTTAAATAGCACAAACCACTTTTAACTTTTAAAAGACTGGAGCAATTTTAGGATGACAAAAATCCACTTTAGATGAACTAATGAGTGGGTCAGATTCAAAGTGAATTGTTGCTCACTTATGGTAAAACAACTCCAAACTTAAAAATTAATGGCAGTGAATGCAAACACTGTTTAAACCTCTTCACCTCCTTCAGTTTTACATCATATAGTTATTTCAGCAGAAATATTATCTGCCATAATGGTTTCCAGACTATGCCAGAAGTGTTACAGCTAGCTGCTGCTGCTACCTTTGCTTGAAAAATACCCCCAGATTTTAGCGATCACCTTTAGCTTCATTCACACAAGCCATTAGCTCTTCATTCCTGTCAAACATGAGCACTTTTTCTCCAAACTGAAGTCACTCAGAGTTATTTACAACAGGTAAGATACTAATTGTTCACAATTTTTCTTCAAAACCCCACTTACAAATGCCTGGAATAATCTTTTAAGTATAAGTGTTCTTGGTCATACAAGCAACACTGACTGGAGGTAGTTATTATCTATGCACCAGTCAGCAGACTGTTTGGAGAGGAGGATTAACTCCCCTGGCTCTCATCCATGGCAATGTTTGAGAACAAACTAATCAGTGGGAATATCTCCCTGAAAACTTTCCAAACAGCAGGTGCTCCTCTCCGCTGTAATTTTGTACTTATCGCACAAAATGGATTTCTAACCTCTGTTTGATGATGAAAAGATAATTGGAGCCATTTTGACAGAAAAGTGTCACAGTGCACGCGCTAAGGTGCGCTGAGGCCTGATAAAGCTGCACTCACCAGTCGCTGAGATTATCAATTCAGCGTCTCGCTTTAATGTTAAAAACGTGCTGGGATTTAAAGCATCCCTGCTTTTTAATTTGTTTTGTGTGCATAAAACGTGATCTCACTCTACATAAAACCATTATAAACTGCTTTCTTAAAATCCATTGCACATAAACATCTTAACCTTGTTATAAAAGTCCCTTTAACAACGCCTAAAACACTTGCAGGTTAAAAAAAAAAACATTACTGCTGCATGCATAACTCCACACATGCTGTATCATTTCCTGTGATATGAACCCGTCCCTGCCATTCCATACTTAATGTTTTATGTACTGTATAAAAGACAAATGTAACAAGCCATGCCAGTCTGTGAATTATACAAATGAGATTTTTAATTATGATTCCTGTGTTGTGAATTGTTTCTGCATTTTCCTTCCATGACTAATGCATGAGCAGCATGTTTTGGCTGTGATATTTAGGTCTGGGCCAATGAAATTCATGACACACCTCCTGTATGCATATTTATTATTCTATTTATCAGTGAAGTCCTCTGTTTTCTTCAGATAATAATAAAAGGATAGTTCAGGGTTTTTTTTTTTTGTTTGTTTTTGTTTTTTTTAAGTGGTTGTGCTGAGAACTTGTGAGTAGACAGTATCTTACAGTGTTGTGCATAGCAGACACTCAGTGTGGAGGGAAATTATCATGAGAGAGTCAAGCAAACAGCTAATCAGATCAGGACACATTAGGAATGAAGCTTCTGCATTAACACTACACTACTAGAGTTATTTAGTCCCTTTAGCATGAAACAATTGTTAGCTTTGTTTTTATTTTCATCAAGCTAACATCTAAATGGTTGCTAGTTGTATCCTGCTGAAGGTCAGCTGTGACTTGCACATTTCCAAAGCTAATCCAACGTAATGATTTCCATTTAGACTTGAAAGTGAAAATTTCCAAATTGTAAGTCAGAAAAATCAACAAGAACTCCCAAAATTTTAAATTTAAGCTTGAAAAGTCTTATTCTTGAGCCGCTTTAACCTCAAAATCCAACATGGCTGACTTGTGCATGTAAAGTTGTGATAGCTGTAGTAAAAAATAATAATGTTGTCAATCTGTCAGTTTGTATCTCATTATTAGCCACATATAAACCACTAAAGGTGAACATGTTAGTGTATGAAAACATATAATTCATAGAAATCTGTAATTTATTTGTATAGCTAATAGTAGTTGGTCTGTTCACTGAGCACACAGATGAGTGAATCCTGTTTTTCTGACCTAAGCTGAGGCTGACAACATTCACATATTTGAGTTTTAATGTATGAGGTAAAAATGCATGTGTCAGAGTATTTAATAAACATTTGGAATTTTTTTTTTTTTTTCAATGGTATTCAAACAATTTACTGTTAGTAGCCATGGTGCAGGCAATTAGCATAGTGGCACAAATGCTACTAGACCAAAAACCGCAACAAAACAAACAATTGTCTCATTTAAAAATAAATTTGTCTAAAAGTAAAAGCAGAGTGTGTTACTAGCCAAGTTTTTTTTTTTTTATTATTAAAGAGTACATTTTTATCACAGCTTTTGTGTTACATTGAATAACTATTACAGGTGATGTATGCCAGTTTTTATTAGTTTCATTTGCCAGCTATGTGAAATAATCTTTAGCTAACATCTTCGCCCCTCCTCCCTCCTGCACCAGGCCGGCAGCTGACAATCTTCAACACTCAGGCCACTATCTCTATCGGCGGCAATGACCGGAAGCGACCCTACCAGGGTCAGCTCTCTGGCCTTTATTACAATGGGCTCAAGGTTCTCAACATGGCCGCAGAGGGCCACCCCAACATCAAGGTGAATGGCAGCGTGCGACTGGTGGGCGACGTGCCCACGAGCCGGGGTGCGACACGCACCACCACCTCGGTACCACCAGAGATGTCCACCACTTTCATCGAGACGACCACCACCCTGTCTACTACAACCACCCGAAAACAGCGCTCTCCACCTACCATTCAGGTACGCCCCTCTGGAAGACGAGGAGAGTGTGTGACGTGATGAGTCATTGTGTTCACGTGTCCAGTTTTACCGGTTTCTTTTCCAGAGAATTGTATTAAAGACATAATAATGTGTTTCGTACCCAAGACCTTTCAAAGCTTCAGATACAGTGTTACTGGTATTCCAGTTTAGTGGTAATTTGAGTCTTTTAATTAGTACTGGTATTGGTAATAAGCTTTTATGTCCAAATTGTATCTATCATTTGAAAGTAAGTGATTTGGCATAGGAGAACCACCAAAAAGTGTCGTATATTTTGCCCCAATAGTCTTAAAACTAATAACTTAAATCCATTGTTCATTCAGTGGCATGTTTACATCTAGAACATCTGGATGCATTCAGTGTTAAATAATTGTTTTCTTCATCTGAAAAGAAGCTTTTATCTAACAGCCAGTGGCTCTGTTTTTTTTTTTGCTGCCATCTTCAAAGTTATGACAAAAAGTAAACACAAGAGCTGTCCTCCTTTCTTTACTATTTAATGTGGATTTGGCCCCTTTCTTCACACTGACCACAGTTGAATTGAAGTTGTGCTCCTTTTTTTAACTCCGCTTGATCAGCCAAGGTCAGGATACTGTATTTCTCATTCTGTGGAGGATTGAAGTGCTGCTGTTCAGCGAGGTGTGCAAAGCCGGTCATTCTCTTTTTCTTTTTTCTTCAACATTTCTCATTTTTTCTACCGTTCTTTCTCCCTCTATCTGTCACTCACCCAACCGTTCTGGACTGAGAGGGGCCTGTCTCCAATACGTTTCAAGTTCGAGCCAATGAATATCACCACAGTGCCAAGAAAGTAATCACACCTCGCTCTGCTTTGACACCCAGAGCACAAATTAAACTGTTAGTTGTCTATATTAAAGCAATAACTCTCAGTCACGGGTGAAACGTTTGGTTGTAGGGGAGAGCTTTGGTTGTTGGACGACGGACCTCTGTTATCATCACCTCAACATCAGATTGCCTGGAACACAGACATGGACGCCCTTTATGTCAGAACTGGCACTCCTATGAAAGTGTCAGAAAGCTACTAAAGAAACAGGACATTTTTGAAACAGAGTTGACTGAGAGTCAAAATATTTTCTTGTGTAAAACATTGTTTCCATCTCTGTTTATGTGCAGTGATGGTGACTCAGCTGAGAAACATGTCAGTGTTTTGCACCGGTAACATTTAGGAAATATCACTGTTGGGCTCCGTTGCTATTTGTATCAAAGTATGTCAGTAAAGCTCCCGCTTTATCTAAAGTGCTTCTCTTTTCAAGGTGAACCAGTATCTGTTCAGTCTGTATTCAGGATGGTGCTGTCAGATGCCAGAAAACGCACTTTGGATAACGTAACAATAAAAATGTAGTGTTCTGCCCTGGCTAACTTTTCATTTTATTTTTGTATTCCTTCTGAGAACACTCCTCGGTCGTTTCTCATCTACTAGCCCCCCTGACAGGCTCTGCTTTGATTCACGCTGCCGTGTCGCAGCATTTCATTTGCCAAGGCCTTTAATTTTACAGTTCCCTTGCTGGCTGTCAAATACTGTGATGTGAGAAGTAGAGAGGACCTGCACCCGTTTGGCAGATTTCTCCACCCCTCTGGGTAGTATAGGGGAGTTTGGGGAGTTGTGCTATCATTAGTGATGTACTGCTGTGGTGAAAAAGAGCTATAGGCGCCTGACGCCGTATGGACCTGAGCTTGTGCTCAGAAGTCGGTTTGTTTCAGGGGCCAAAAAGTATGTGTGTGCTTAGCATCTTCACAGACATCTGTTTATAACCAGTGGACCTTGTCCTACCTGTGCACCTTCTGAGGTGAGAACAGGTTGGCATTTTTGGGTCAGCAGGATGAGAGGCAGGGGTGTGAGGTAAAAGGACACATTTCACACTTAATTATTGATGGCTCCATGAAGAGGAATACCTGGAAGACCGTTACCGCCAGTAAAAATAAATAAAACTTATAATAGTATGATGTAATTATGAGATACAAACTCATAATTATGTCATGTTTTTGTTTTCTTTTCACCCACTTGGTAGTTTGCACACCAGCAAGGCTAACGGGGAACCAAACGAACACAAACGGGAAATTTGTTTGTTTTGAGATTTAATAAAAAACTCCACATAAAAACTGCGTTCATGCTAAAGGAATAGTTTGGGCATTTTGAACTGGTATTTTGTGAAATATGAATAAATTATTAGTTTTTCCTGGTAGCTAGGTCTTTGAATGACCTCAGTTTGAGTTTAAATTCAAAAGGACTGACGAGCTAACATCACGTGCAAATGCAGCTAAGACCAGGGCTTAATTTGAAAACTGGTCGATGCCGGAACGAAAGTAGTTGTCGGGCCGGCAGGGGAGGGGGTGCGTGGGGGGAACGCGGGAAGTGGAGTGACCTTGTGGGTCCTCCTAGTAGATGCTACTTCCTGCATTTTGGTGTAGCCTATTTTAACGGGTTTACCTACATTAGTAAACTCTTGATTCAGTAACTATTTTAGAGAGCAACAACAGGCTGTGTGTGAATAGAGCAGCTCTGATTCTGTCAAGCATCCTACACCCCCAACACCACGTTTTTGAGCCGAACTCTTCTCCACTGAATTCATTCCTGTGCCTTGTTGCTTCTGCTGCTCCAACCTCAATTACGACTGACTTCTTGGTTGTCCAACTCAGGACAATCCATCCATTTATTTAATAAAAGTAAATTGGACTGTCTTTCAACAATTTGATTGCTGTTATTTTTATTCAAATTAGCACTGTTGTTTTGATACGTGATTAATGTGACTAATACTCATCCAACATTTCTCTCATTGTATTTTTTGTTCTGTAAGCTATTTTATTTATTATGTCTGAAATGTATGCAGGAGTTCAGACACATCAGCAGTTGTGTGCGCTCTGCAGAGCTGTCTGGAGACGCTGCTGTGCATAACGTGCACTGTCTGCAGGACACGCTGCTGAAGGTGTTGGATGAAGACATTTCATCCCCACGGTACATGCAGTCCATGTCTCTGCTGGGCAGGGGCGTGTGCTCAAGCTGGTGCGCTTTCTATGGCCGGAACATCCACTCCACAGACTGGGTCCACCGGGCCAAGGGCACCTTCTCCTCTCGTTGTATTTTTATTAAATAATTAAAATAAAAATGTGCAATGACTTTGGACTTTTAGGGGCGTAGATTTTAGTTGCCGGATCCGAGCAAACAGTTGCCGGAACACACCCTGTCAAAATGAGGGAGTCCCCGGATCTTGTTTCGAAGCAGGATCCGGCTCAAATTAAACACTGGCTAAGACCAACATCAGTCCCTAACGTTCTTAAACAACCTGTCGCAAATGGTATGAGCCAATGCCGATGCTAACATCTAAACTTTTTACTCTTTTCTGTCAGGAATGGGTTTTCGGATTCTTAATAAGCCAGACACAGGAGTGCAAAAACAAGAACAGTTTTTATTTATTATGCTGCTGGTTGCTGGAGTCAGGAGTCCAATCTCCTCAGTCTGTACGTGGCAGGTGAAATCCAGAGGCGTGGTTCGATGGTCATAGCAGGGGTCAAGCACGTTGAAGCAGAGAAGCAAGAACAAGGCTGAGTCGTGATCCAAAAGACTAGTCAAGGCAGAGCAAGAGTCGTTACCTTGGTCAGATATGCAGACAAATCCAGAAAGGGGCAAGGCAAGGAATCAAAAAACAGGCGAGGGTACAAAGCAAGGATACAAAACTATGGAACAGATACTATGATTGAAGGCTTCACTATCAGGGACCATGAGTGGTGTAATAATTCGGCACCGGTGGAGCGTGAGAATGGAACTTATAAAAGGTGCAGAGCAGGGGAACTAGATGAGCTGAACAGGTGCGTGGAATCAGGGCTGATTGCTGTGAGAAAAGGGAGGCGTGGCTTGGAGTGAAGGGAGCAGGCTTGAGCTGGAGGATGGGTGATAGGCAAAACACATAAGGGAAAAACAAACAATGGCATGAGGGGCAGAAACTATGGCAGGTGACATGGGCAGGAGAACAAAAAGCATGAAGGCAGGTTTTTGGCAGGATGGGCAGAAACATGGCAAGAGGAGCAGTGACGTGAGTAGATGTGGGGTCAGCAGGGGGCTGTTGACCATTACATTTTCTTAGTTTAAATTCCATTATTTTACGTTTTCCATTATTTACTTTGTATGTTTGATTATTTACAAGCATGAAGAGCAGCAGCTAGCTGTAGCATTTTCAGGCCGTTGATGGGACTCAACTGCCAGGAACTTTACCATATTTTTCTGATTATAAGGCCCATTAAGTGAAACAAAACAGTCGGATAAGTTAAACTTCATTCAACTCATTCACACTAACCACATGAAATTGGTTTAAGGTCAGTAAGTACAACCAGAATTAATACATAAGGCTTACTGTCAATATTTGAGAAAATTTAAGGATTTTAAGTGCGCCTTATATTCCGAAAAATACAGTATGTTTCTGCCAAAATAACCGCCTACGTTGGCGTTAACTGTGATGTAAATTTGAAGTATGCTGGAGTTGTTTTATGACGGCAGCTGCTCACTTTAGTGTCGGCTAACTAGCTGTTAGCTTGTCAGTCTTGTCAGATGAAACTGTGATTCCAGACTGAGGCTGTTAAATATCTTTCTATTCCTCAAAATCTCTAAACTGCTGCTTTAATTATTTCTAGAAATATTGATGGAATCAACTTTTTTTTTTTAAGTATTTTTTGTAAATTGTTAATTGTAATTTCTTTTATTCTAAACATTTCAGTCAAGGTGATAATACATCCACTAATGCCTATAACCTTAACTTCTAATGTGTAATCACATTAAGAGCTTTATCTTTTCAGTATTTACTCTGGCCAATTTGATGTGGACAGTCATTCTAGAAATACTTGTTACTGCACGGCTCTGTATCGTGGAAGATCATCTCCACCCATTCTCAATTAACTCTTTATGCTGGTGTGAGATGTTATGGAACAATTAGAATGGGAGGCTGCAATCTAGAGGACCGCAGAGGGAAACTGCCGAG